TTCTAATGGGGCCGTTTTCCCCCATGAAACCGTGTATACGACCCATTCTGAACACCGTATGGAAGATTAGAGTAGGTTTAACAAGCAAAACGGGCGGTCTAAATGAAGCCATTTCACGTAGTGTTGTGTAAAAAGTAAATAACGTTATGAAACTAGCTGTAGGAAACATGAAATACTACTAGCTATGTTAGCATCGAGGGACTCATTCCTTGTTTTGTAGCTCCTACAAGACTTATTGCCTTTTAGTCATTATCGTAAATAGATGCTTCTGCACTGCGAGTTTCTCCCCAAACAACTTTTGAGGGTGTGTGAAGTAGGAGTTGTTCGTGCGTCGCAGATCGTGCAGAGGAATACGTATATCTCCAATGGGAAATTCGCGGCATTTATAAAAGGTTCTAATAGCTTCGCAGTTAACGTCCCAGGACATTACGGAGAATTACAAGGACCACAGAGCACTTTAAAGTCTCTCTCGTAAGTTAACGCGATCACTCGTGTTTGAGGCAAAACTCCTCGTTACTCGGTGAGTAGGTTATTTAGCAGGAAAAGGTCTGCTAACTGGAGGATCCTTGGAATATATCAGTATGGGAGTATGGGCAAAGGATAAAAATCATGTTTCGGGGATGTGCGCTCTTTTCGTTCTAGATAGTTGTGAAAGGATGCTCGACTCGGAACCAAGAGGTCCCGGGTTCGAGTCCTGACATGCCACCGATGTTGTGCCCTTGGGAAAGACACTTAACACGACTTTCCTCGCTTGTCCCCTGTATTGGTGGCGGCATTAATATAAGTTGAAAAAAACTTGACTGTGCCGTCATCTCGTCTTGTGATTACATGTTGGAATATCAAAAAATTATACAAAATTCAGGGATGGGAGTTTTGATTCACGCTTCAACTAGGTCTCTTATGAATCCATACTTTTTTCGAACGTCTTGTAAAATACCTTCATTGTAAAAGTGGCTGTACTATAAGTTGTGCCTAACTTGAGTTCGTAGTCACTTTGTCTGTGTCCTTTCATTTGTATTCATTACTGTTTTTCTGAATAAAAAAAGATCCATACAGAATTTCTTCGTCCGGGGGGAAAGATTTAAAGATTTGTGCAGCAGTCTCACAGTGCAGAAGATGTATAGTTGCTGGCAGTCTCGCCACTGCGACAGGCACACGCTTCGTTAAGCACGGTTTCTTTGGGCCTGACAGGGACACTTGTACTAATCTATCTCTGTGAATCAAGGGAACAACATACCACCAAACTAGAAAGGTAACATTTGCAAAGCAAATGCATAATGTTTACCTTCGCATATGGTCTGCTCCGATTAATTCTTTCTCAAACACATTCACACATAAAGTGACAGGAGTCTAAATCCCTCCTGCAATAAAATTGCAACATGATGTAACCCAACACCAGTTACCATGGTGACAGACATCCGGTTCTGGTCATTGACCTTACTTGTTTGGAGAAGAAGAGGAAGAAGAAACAGAGCAAAAACAATATGTTTTCCTTCTGCGAAGATTAACATAAATATGAGGGGAAAGTCATCGACTTATGAAGTAAACGGTTGCACGAAAAACTTTCTAGTCAAACTCTAACAAGTGTTTTGTCTTACTTTCGACAACATCCCGTCTGATTGTAATGTATTTATTAATCAAGCTATCTATATTCCCAGGCAATTAATTCGAAATTTTCCGGCAACATAAACTACAATAGAATTATGTTTTTCTAATAACTTTACACCAGATTGGAATGAAAGCCGAGGCCAAATCTTCCCAACAGGCTTCCTTATATCATTTACCGTGAAATCATAGTTCCTTACTGAATTACAAACGGCTTAGTGTAACACAGGGTGAGACCTTCATAGTCCCAAAACAGATTAAACTTCGGTTCCGTGTAGCGGATCGGTTGTCGTTGAGTAGCTCTGTATCTCTATATTGCGCATGATTTACATTCATTTTGTTGCATGTATTGATGCATACATTTATTACTCCGTCATGCAGAGGTGTTTGAAACGCTTAAAAGCCTTGGCTTATATTTTTGACGTGTTTTAGGTGTTTGCCTTACGCCAGCGAAACGGGTGGCATAAAGGATACGTCCTTGCCAATTTGATAACGTCTTTCAGCCACCAAAAGATCTGCTTGGAGATGGTTTGGTTTGATTTTCTTTTAATGCCCTCGATCATAATAACGTTAATGATCATTCTGACATACTAGTACTCATTTTCATCTGAGCGAAGTGAGGAAAGTCACGTAAACTACAATAGAATTATGTTTTTCAAATAACTTTGCACCAGATTGGAATGGTGTAAAGTGCCTTTCCCAATGGAACAAGGTCGGTGACTTGGCAGGATTCTGAACCAGGGACCTCTTGGTTCTGAGCTGAATGTTCTGCCGTTACGCCAGATAATCTTAAGATGACAGTACTAGTGCCATACAGTTCCGGCCAAACTCCCCCCGGGCCCAACTTCCTCCGTAGCGGTAATTTAGATAGGCGGGCGAAGGGCTCTTGGCTGCCGAAGGAAAACGGCTAACAGCCCGATACTAGTCTGGCACCCAGGGTAACAGTTCCATGACTAGTCTGATCGAGAAGTCTCGGTCCTTACCGGAGAGGATGAAGAGGATCCCGGAGGCGAAGGCGTTGAGCTTCCGTCTGGGGTTGACGTGTCCGATGGTCGACACCACGCAGCCGAGAAACGTCATCCCCAGACTCACTACCGGAAACGGCATGGCGGAGGAGATCACCCCTACAGGAACAGGAAGTGACGACATAAAAGACAAAGTTAGCGGACAGTAAGTGAAGACGTAAAAAAAGTTAGCGAACAGGAAGTGACGACACAAAAAGCAAAGTTAGCGGCCATTCGAACACGAATAAGGGCAACCAGTTGATTCCTAGTGTATTGTCTGATTGCCCTTGTACTTAGTGTTTTGTCTGGTTGCCCTTGTACTTAGTGGTTTGTCTGGTTGTCCTTGTACTTAGTGGTTTGTCTGGTTGCCCTTGTACTTAGTGGTTTGTCTGGTTGCCCTTGTCCTTAGTGGTTTGTCTGGTTGCCCTTGTACTTAGTGGTTTGTCTGGTTGCTCTTGTACTTAGTGGTTTGCCTGGTCGCCTTGTACTTAGTGGTTTGTCTGGTTGCCCTTGTACCTAGTGGTTTGTCTGGTTGCTCTTGTACTTAGTGGTTTGTCTGGTTGCCCTTGTACTTAGTAGTTTGTCTGTTTGCCCTTGTACTTAGTGGTTTGTCTGGTTGCTCTTGTACTTAGTGGTTTGCCTGGTCGCCTTGTACTTAGTGGTTTGTCTGGTTGCTCTTGTACTTAGTGGTTTGTCTGGTTGCACTTGTACTTAGTGGTTTGTCTGGTTGCCCTTGTACTTAGTGGTTTGTCTGGTTGCCCTTGTACTTAGTGTTTTGTCTGGTTGCACTTGTACTTAGTGGTTTGTCTGGTCGCCTTGTACTTAGTGTTTTGTCTGGTTGCCCTTGTATTTAGTGGTTTGTCTGGTTGCACTTGTACTTAGTGGTTTGTCTGGTTGCCTTTGTACTTAGTGGTTTGTCTGGTTGCACTTGTACTTAGTGGTTTGTCTGGTTGCTCTTGTACTTAGTGGTTTGTCTGGTTACACACATGGCCCAAACTTCTCATTGATAAAGAATGATTCAAACAAACAAACAAACAAACAAACAAACAAACAAACAACCAAAGTATAGGAAATTAAGTTAATTAAATTCTGAAGTATGAAATACGAGCGAAAATCATATAATGAGACAAACGTCAGATTCTTTCAAATTGGATGATAACGTTATCTTTAGAACATCCTTTTAAGTGACGGTTTGGATACTCGTGATTAAGACTTTCTGCACATACGTGGCGCACTTTAACACTTCAACTACATCCATAAATGCAGATGGGTGCACCCCCAAGCTTTTAAGACATGATCTACTACAAAACAATACGGTTTAAGAGTATCTCATTTCCCCATCAGACTGCCGAGCCGCACGTTCCTCCGGGACATGTCTCCCCGGCTCCTGCGCTCCCCTGACCCGCACAACCCTGACCCGTGACATACGGTACCTGACGGATATGGGCGCTGATACATCAGCATTTATTCTCTCATATACTTCCCATGTACTCCGATCTTTGATGTAACGATTGGTGAGCTTAACCGTTGATTGCCTGCGCACCGTGACACAAATCTATGGTTATATTGATCGCATCTACAGCTATATCAGCAGGAGGCGTTGTGACAGATATCTGCGTGGTCAATATGGCATACCGACGAGCGGTATAGCAGTGGGAACGCTGGAGGAATTGGTTTTAACCCCAATTTGTTTCCTTTCTCGCGCCTTTTTTGCCATTCTGTCATCAATATGTCTAACTTTCGATCTAGTTTGTCATTTCTACTTTCTAGCCCTCTGTATTATCACCATCAGAATGTGAAATACATGTTCCAATTAGTATGCTGTGTTGTTGTAGATTTATCTTGTAAAGATTAGAATTCGTCCAATTGTCAAAATTTAAAAAATCGAGTCAGCTGAGCAAAAGTTAGACAAATTGTCCAGTTCCACCCCAGCTATAGTTCTCGCCGATGCAACTAAACAATACGCATTCGAATCAGAGGAACTTGGCCTCCACCAGGCGTTTCTACGAAAATACTGATCGTAGAATTCGGCAAAAGGGAGAGTAAAATTGACCAGGGGAGTCAGTCCGCGGAAGGTTGGTTCTTTCTCAAGTTTCTGCTGCGCGGCCAGTCAAAACCCCAAGGTGGCCCTGGCAAATATTCTCCTATATATATATATATATAGCAAGCGTAGTTAGTCTGGTAGAGACTTTAAGAACTAGCTAGAGTCTGGAACAAGCCCAAAACCTAGACATCTTGTCGACCATGTGGGCGTCACTCAAATAATTGTCACTCGAAAAAAAAAAAGATCTCGCACAATCCAATTAAGATCGAATCATTTGGTAGCAGCAGGCCATAGGAACTAGAGGGAGGACCCCGACATCTTTGGTCGACTGATTCTGAAATGAAAAGTTCTCTGGGCATATCTGCCGCCATATCATTTCAGACCACAGGGGAAAAATATTGTTTCTTTCTCGCAATATGAAAGTCTGGCAAGTCATTTTGAAAGTCGACTGGAGTCCCGGTGGAACATATCCCAGGGATTGTGATTTCATCAAAAGTTGTGATAACTCTTTCTGTCCGTGGTTAGAATAATCCCAATAAAATCATATCTTCCCACGCTAGGGTCTCTAGGTATTAGAGCTTTCATACAGGCATTCAGCATGCACAAATTAACGTGTATTGTCTGATATATTCTTGTCAGAAACGCTGGGTCAGTGACTTGGGAAAGGTTCTACTTTCGTAAGTTCGATGAGCGATATCTGATATCATATGTAGGCCCTGTGGACGAAATTCAAAGATAGCCGTTCTCCAAATTGACAAGCCATCACAGGAACATGAGATTGATATTGAGCGCGTTGTTTGTAATGGCTCCGGCATGGGGCAAGATGGAGGATAGCATTTCTGGGCAGTCAGTCAAAAAGTCGTCTGAAAACAGGGCGGTTAGAGTAATGCCTGGGTTAAGCCAATAAAATCATATCTTCCCACGCTAAGATCTCTAGGTATTAGAGCTTTCATACAGGCATTAGGCATGCACAAATTAACGTGTATTGTCTGATATATACTTGTAAGAAACGCTGGGTCAGTGACTTGGGAAAGGTTCTACTTTCGTAAGTTCGATGAGCGATATCTGATATCATATGTAGGCCCTGTGGACGAAATTCAAAGATAGCCGTTCTCTAAATTGACAAGCCATCACAGGAACATAAGATTGATATTGAGCGCGTTGTTTGTAATGGCTCCGGCATGGGGCAAGATGGAGGATAGCATTTCTGGGCAGTCAGTCAAAAAGTCGTCTGAAAACAGGGCGGTGGGAAATTTTGGCGCCAACCGGTCGGATCAGACAACGCCGGGACTCTCCACATCCAAACTTTATCGCGGCGCTCTGACTTTTCTGTTCTATAGGAAAAATTGATTTCTGTGTACAGCTGAATTAGCTGATAGATCAAAAGTCATGCAATAACCCGGGATTCCGGAGAGAAGCACAGGGATCAATTACGATCCTATTTAGATTTAGGTTTGACGTCACGCGGACTAAAAGGCTTGACCTGTCTCAACATAAAGGCCCGCTCATAAACGTTTGGTTACGGTCGGATAAAGGCGCCAACTCACAACTGGGAAAGGTGTGAACTTTGTGAGAGGAAAGTCAAAGTTTTTGTGTATTTGCTTGTTTCTACCAGACCCTTCTGCTTGCAGAAAGAAGTTCGTAGTAAACTAGAAAGGTAACATTTTCAAAGCAAACGCACAATGCTTACCTTTGCATATGGTCTGCTCTGTTAATTCTTACTCAAACACATTCATATATATGGTGACAGGAGCCTAAATCCTTCCTACTATAAAATTGCAACATGATGTAAACCAACACTAGTTACCATGGTAACTGACAGCCTGGTTCAGGTCGTTGACCTTTTTAGTCTGGAGAAGAAGAGGATACGTAGCAAAACGATATGTTTTCCTTCGGTGAACATGAAAATGAAGAAATGAGGTGAACACTTTACCAGAGGGGTAGTCTGGTCATAGAATAACGTATGTTTAGTTGCAAGCAGACTGATGACCGTGTATTGCCATTATCAGTGAATGTAGGCATTGTGCCAAACTCTAAAATGAAGCACCATCGTGTCGTAATCAGTCATTCTGAAGTGCGGTGACCCATAACTATGATAGAAGGTTCTCAGTGTCGCGTTCAGACCAGGTGACTGCAAACTGTATCTAAGGCCACAGCAAGTAATTTTTATGGATGACATCAGCGCACGCATTAATTTTCGCCTGACTTTGGAAAAAAAAACAAGAGATTTTGTTGCCTTCTGACAGTGGTCACCATGCCGAAAATGGGCAAATATGTCTGTTGCCATGCCGGAAGGTGGATGGCAGATAATCATGAGGAGAGAAGAAAAGGCTCTGATTTCATGTTTTGTTTCCTACTTTGATGCAGTGATATGTAATGTAGACTGTGTATATGTGATGCTCCCACTGAATCAAAAGCATTTGTACAATGATTGAGCCAAAATTTTGAAATGTAGGAACCTTGTTTTTTCGGCCCGCCTTGTTTTTTTTCGCCCGCCCGCATTAGATTTGGAGTCTGCGGAGGATGTCATCCATAACATTTACCTGCTGTGGCCTTATTCACGACATCAGACTCGAGTCTCACGACGTAAGAGACAAACGACGATGGATTAACTGTACAGAGACATACACTGATGTGGTCTGTCAATTGTAGTTTAGAGTTTATTTACTGCTATTTTACAGCCATGAACAGTTATTACTATTATTGGAATAGTAGCCTGCCGTACTCACTCATGATGGAGTCAGTGGTGTACTCCCTGGGACCGTAGTTTTTACCCAGAGGTGGGCCGAACGTCGAGATCTTCGCGCACCCGCTTCCGTTAGCTGCAAAGGCGGTAAGAAAAAATCATTTTAGAAACTAACTGGCTAACCAACCAAACAACCAACCAACTAACCAACCAACCGATCAACCAACCAACCAACCAAACAGCCAACCAACCAACCAACCAACCAACCAACCAACCAACCAACCAACCAACCAACCAACCAACCAACCAACCAACCAACCAACCAATCGTACAACCAATCCATCCTTTCGTTTCCCTATCCATCCATTCACCCAACCGTCCATCCATCCATCCATTCATCCTTCAATCCATCCATCCATCCATTCATCCTTCAATCCATCCATCCATCCATCCCCTTCAATCCATCCATCCATCCATCCATTCATCCATCCATCATCTATACAAACATACATACATACATACATACAAACATACATACATACATACATACATACAAACATACATACATACATACATACATACATACATACATACATACATACATACATACATACAAACATACATACATACATACATACATACATACGTACACACATTGACACTTTCTTGCCAATTTGGTACTGTCTTGCAGCCATCAAAAAATCTAGCTTGGAGATTAGCATTTTCCTCTATGTTTGAAGTCAGGACTTACAAGTTACTGCCGTCACTTTAACTGAAGATGTTGAGCGGCTACCTCCTGCGTACATCCTATCAGCAAAGTTTTTCTTGTGACATCTTACAGGAAGATTTTACAGCCTGTATGTCTGTCCGGGGAATTCCTTCTTTGTGAACAGTAGTTCAGCGCCGAGGTTCACTAATGGCGAGAGCTGGGAGTTCTTTGTACGGTCTAATTATGGTGGTTTCAGAAGGAATTTCTGAGTGCAGTACCGCGGTGTTAATGGCTTCACTGGGGAAAATAGACGCATCTAGCGATCTCTATAAATTGGTGGGGCACGACTCGAGTGTAATAAAAGCTCACCAGGAGTCGTTGAGGTATTATTTACGCCTTCTCAGTACTGCTGCGTTCAAAGTGATGCTGGAGACGTGCAGTTATAGGAATCAAGATGAGCTCTTTCGCTCGGAATATTACGTTAATGGACTGCAGTTGTTGAGCACTTACTAGTTTGTTCAGGTCACGGTGAAATGTATTCTATGTATACATGTGTCAAAATGGATGTAGATTGAAATAGGCATAGCGCATGAAGCCAACGCAGCATGGCACAGGGAAAATAACAGTATTTTAGGAAAGCTGTGCTTATAAAAGTTCAACATTCTATCGAAGTAACGGAAACGAGTTGGACGATTACTTGAATCACGAAAGAATCGCTAGATCACCATGATAAGATAAAGCTGAACCATTTGGCTGACTGATATACTACAGATAAAGTGAAGATAGCTGTTAAGATATAGTCATCAGTAACTGGCTTAATCACGCTTCTAGTAGCCCTCCCACTGGTCGGGTCCCTTGTTCTACCTTTATAGCCAGTCTCCTGGTGTAAAAGTGACCCGTCTACAAACTCCGAGGAGTCTTTTTAAAACCCCTGTAGGAGGAGTCACATACTTCAGTCGTGGCAGACCTTTCCTGGTACTTTTAGGTTAATCGCCCTGTCCCTAATGGCCGTGACTAAAAGCGTTTAGAAAGCAGAGGCAACCTTCTCTCTTCAGGCCACAGCGCAGCATGCTAGCACTAGGCGTAAAACCAGACCAGACAAAAACTGTGTTTTTATTATTCCGTCGTAAATAGGTACGGGGGAAAACTACCAAGCAATAGCATGACTAATTTATTGCTTCATGTGTCGTGTCACGCCGATTTGCTAAAAGCGGACACACATGAAAAGTTGGTCAAACTTGTGTTCCAAATGGCTCGCCATATAAAAGACGTGGGTTGTTGTACCAGACACGATACCACGCACACTGACACCGCCGGCTGCATATCTGCTTACTTTAATTTTCACCATCGCACACACTTCAAAGAAAGGCCGTGTTCGGTGTCTTGTGTCGTCTGCAGGGGCATCCATCATAAACTGTAGCGGCAGTGGTGCGTGTCTCTCCCCGGTAGTACAGGGGAGATGGAACGGTGCCGGAATAACGCGAAGTACGAGAATATCCGCTAACTCATATTTCACCACCCTCTTGTCAACGGTTTCTGCCAAGTTTTCAAGATCCCGTACTGACCTCTGACACATGCTGACCCGAACGGAAGGTAGATGTTCCAATCGTCCATTCATCCTGTTGCTATTATCAACAAGAATTCGGAGGTTTCATACCTCCATGAAATATGAAGAGTTTATGCAAATGTTTTTGAGGCATTTGTCTCATTCAAAAATAAGATCATAATTACTATAATCTAGTTAGATTTATGGGTTTCTAAACTATTTTGCTTGTGACATTCCTATCTTTTGGCAATATTCTGCTGCAGTACCAAGGTCAGCGAACAGGAGGCCCGTATTTGACCTTGACCTTTGTCTTCCTACGACCTACCAGCATACCAAATATCACCACAATCCATAAAGGCGGTCAGAAGTTACAAATGTACTTAAACACAAACACACACAGACAGACAGACAGACAGACACACGTGCACACACACACGTGCACACACACACACACACACACACACACACACACACACACACACACACACACACACACACACACAGACACTCCAAAAACAATACCTCCATTTTTCATGGAGGTAACAACACATGCTATGCAGCACTGTAACGGGCCACTCTCTCTCTCCTGGCAAAAAACAACGCCAACTTTTAGCTGTAGTTTTCTCATCTCACGATGTATCACATTTTTACGTCGGCACTCGATTCTTCAGCCTGCGGCACTGGTTTGCCTCCCTGATCCTCTTCAGTTGGATACTATCTCTGAAGCTTCTGCTATATTATCTACAACACATGCCATACTGCACTGTAAAAGTCTACTCTCTCTCCTGGCCAAAAGCAACGCCAACTTTTAGCTATACTACAGTTGTCTCATCTCACGATGTATCATATTTTACATCGGCACTCGATTCTTTAGCCTGCGGCACTGGTTTGCCTCCCTGATCCTCTTCAGTTGGATACCATCTCTAAAACCCCCGGCTATCCCAATCTATAGCTGCGCACAATTACAATAACTTTGTGATTTGTGGCATCAAAAGTTTTCATTTTACGGTAGGACTACCTGTAAAGGGGAAATGGCTGCAGGAGAGAATGAATCAAAAACTGTATTCCATAAAAGCAGCATAAGTGAATGTATAGATGGCACGCAGTCGTGAGAAGAAGGATCAAATGTTTACGGGTATCTGGGGACAAAAGTACGTGCGTCAGTTGTGCATGATAAATACTGAATACGTCAGAAGTTAGTAGCGTTCTAAGCCGGGCCTCCCGGGCGGTATGGTATAGCATCTGCCTAAGCCAGGGGATAAAAGTTGGGGTTTGACATTGGCACATGCGGTTTCCTGGCGTTCCCTAGATAGATACTAGGCAATGTCGTCACTCATACTCTCATGTATTGTAAAATTATCATTTGGTAACTATATCCACAGGCGCGCTCCAGAAATAGACCGGCATTCGTGACACAATCTACAATAGTCTAGCAATAGCCATTACGTATCTTACGGATAATACGGCTACCTATCTGCTAGATCGTATAAAACGATTTTCCCATAAATAACACTCTAAAATCTCCCAATTAAGTGAAACCCAACCCGGGAGCTGTGTTTTGTTGGTTCTGTTCCGAGTTATAGATACTGGCAGGCTGAATCCTACCCTGGTAGCCAGACCCCCGTGAGCACAGCGCTATCTCTTCGGGGCTGGTAGCGTTTCGGGCCGCCAAACCAGGCCCCAATTACCGGTGCACGCCGGGGGTAGCTTTTTGCGTCTACGGTTTAGGTTTCTTCGCTCACACTTTGGATCCTGTCGTAGAAGACTCAGAGTAATACAGGAAACCAGCGGATAAAGAGAAACCAGACGAATACACGTAGGTCCGTGGGTATATAGCTCGCCTGTGCATTTCGTTAAGGTAGGGGTAGGAAAATCACCCCCAAGCCGACCAAAGGTTTGGTACCCGGGCTAGTTTCATCCACGCTCCCCTCGGTCAAACGGCGGTGGGATCTCCACCCTCCACATGAACGCAAACGTAGTGCTGTGTACCGGTTCCCTGGACTGGTTCCGGACTTGCAAAATTTTTAGCTTCAAGTAAAAAAACAAAAAAACTATAAGTCAAGAACCAATTCCGGCTACAAAAAAAAAAAAAAACATTGTCACATACCTTTTCATTCCAAATTAAACCACCACCTGAAACCTTTCATAGATTGCAAAATCTGGGCTGCAAAATGAAGAAAACATTGCCATCAGGCATCGTTAAGTGTCGGCATCCACGTTATGTGGCCAACGTTTTGCTCATACAACATTGCAAGGTTGCCAACATGCATGTTTTGTATGCCATGGGTTAAGGTCCTGACTTACGAGTCCGGAGCTGAACCTAAACCTCTGGACTTGAATCCGGACTTGAACCTAAATGTGGGTTTAGGTACACATCACTACCCCAACGTGAAGAATAACTCTCCGGCCCGTGCCTGGTGTTGGATAACTCCATCCCGACCGCTGACGGACTATATCGATTTGCCAGGGTTTTCCACAGACGTGAAAAATACATCCTCCTTCCAAATGGCCTGAATTATGGAGATGCCTTCCGCTGAAAAATAACACGTCAAACTCAGGACCAGCTCTGGTCAGTCAGAGCCGGGGGTGTCTGTTAAATGGTACATCCGTGACTGTCAGCTGTAACTAGTTTATATTCATTGCAAAGTGATTTAGAAGGCCTTCATGTACATTTAATGGGTTTGCAGCCACAGTGAATTTCACGGCAGTCTATCTTTGTAAAAAGCTTGTGAGTGGTGGCGAAGATTTGAAAAGAGCGGAGGCTGAGGCTATTGGCTTATACCATCTTTTCAAAAAAGGACCGTTGAGCAACGAACATTTGATGGATCGCTGGCGGTCTTTCAGGGAGGGCTCAATGATTTCTTAATGCTTTTTCAATGAT